GGGCCCGGCGGGTGGCGCAGGGAGCCGGGCCGGGTCCGCGGGGTTGGGCAGGGGCGGCGGGCGGTGGGTGCCGGGCCGGCGCCGCCCGGCCGTGGTGACAGCTACGCCCCGCCGGTGTTCGAGCGGCCTGTGCGGGGCAGCCCCTGCACCCAGCGTCCCGCCCGCCGGGGCGGCGGCTCCGCGGGGCCGGGGCCACGCGCGTGCGGCGGCGGTGCCCGTGTGCATGCTGATGGGGCGGGCACGCCTATCCGCAGGGACCGGGGCCCCGCCGGCCCTCCGCTGTCACCGCCCGTGCACGTGTTACACGCTGCCGGCCGGTGCCTCGGACACGGCGTTCCGCTGTCAGCGCCGCTGCGCGCTGTGATCGCTCTTTCGCTGCTGTAGCGCCGGGTGCTGCTCTCGCTCCTCACACACGTGCGGCGGGCCGGGGCACAGGCACAGCGCCGGGGCACAGGCACAGCGCCGGGCACAGGGCCGGCACAAGCACAGGGCCGGGGCACAGGCACAAGCACAGGGCCGGGGCACAGGCACAGGGCCGTGGCACAGACACAGGGTCGGCACGCCTGCCCTCTGCAGCGCTGTCAAGCTCACTCGAACCCTTTGTGCTGCCTGCAGAACCAAATGCGTGGTAGGGACTAGAACTTAAAAAAAAACATACACAGGGTCGGCACGCCTGCCCTCTGCAGCGCTGTCAAGCTCACTCGAACCCTTTGTGCTGCCTGCAGAACAAATGCGTGGTAGGGACTAGAACTTAAAAAAAACAATAATCATCTGCTGGTGTCAAAAGAAAGTGCACAGACTGGGTAATTTTCCGGGGAGTGTTTTCTGAGACCTGACTGAGAAGGTATGCATGCAGGCAGGCACCTGCTCTCAGAAATAAACTTCCACGCATGTATAGTGTGCAGTGGTTTTTATTGTGGGGTTATTAATGGTTGTCATGGATCTCTGACTATGGAATGCATATGCTGATCTGAATATTTTGACATCAGTGTTTTTGTGTTAGCTTAGGTCTCATCAGTTGGCATTGCACGAGTCCACGGAGATGGAGGGCAGGCAATCACCTATCTTCTGTTTACCTGAAAACGGGTTTGAGCCCTCCCCTTTTTTTGAGCACATTGATGGCTTTTGCTATGGGCAATGCCCTGGATAAAGGCCATTTGGTCTGTGGATTTTTTTTTTTTAAGTTCATGCTTTTCAAAACATAACCTTTGCCTTGAACCCTTCAGGGTCTAGATGACGGAGGTGTATGGTAAGAGTTGAAGGCCTTGCAGAGCTCATTTTAGAAATCTGTAGTGATTTAGTTGCATGAGTTTTTCTGTGCTCAGCTTATACCTAAGGGTCCTTCAGTCCCCTCACACAGGAAAGCAACAGCCTCTTTGCCTTCCAAAATTGCTGTTCTGTAACATTTGTCAAAATGACTATTCAAATTTGCTGATTGTTTTGGAAGACTAGTTATTACCACCTCTGGCTACCTGTTTCCTTGCCAGCTCCTGTGTTACCTTTACTGCTGGGGTTATAATAATTCATAAAATGACACGCCAGAAGTGTACTATTTTAAGTGTTTTAGTCACTGTACCTTGGAACTTTCTGCAACTTTCTTCACACAATTTAAAAGTAACGTGTGTAGAACGTACTAAGTACTGAATTTTTTAAGTTAGTTTTTGGACTCTGGTTGTATTCTGTCTTGTAACTTATTTACTTGGAGGCTGAGGAACATTTTTAGAAGTGCTTTGCTCTCTCTCTGTCTTGTAAATTTGTAATTTTTTTTTCTGTATTGAAGATATAGGGTGGAAAAGGGCAAGTTTCAAGAAGAAAGTAATGGTAATAATAATGGGGTGAAAAAAGAGTGAGCTTCAGCTTGCCAAAGTATTCAAAGTGTTGCTAGAGTTAAATTTTGGTGGAATCGGTTTCAAACTCCAAGTGGTAGGCCCTTGTGGAGTTTTTTTTTAAAGCAGTATCAAGACATACTCAGATATCTTAGTCTGTGTGTGTATTGACTGTCTAGTTTGTGGCATATATTTACATGATGCTGAGCTTCTATTTCAGCTATTTCCTTTATTCAAAGCAGAGCAAGGGAGAATGTGTCTCAAATACACCCCTACATTGCTTTTCCTAAATTACTGGAGTTTCCTTTTTAAAAAGCCATAAGAAGTTTTAGAGGCTGTTGGCTAACAATCTTGAATGAAAAATTGTGGAAATAATTTCTGAAAGGAGCAGAAGCTTCCTAGGAAAGCCTAAACAGTGCCTAGGTCCTGTGAAGGTTGCAGTGTGACCGAGTGGCTGCTGCCAAGGCTGGGTGAAGCCTCCTGGACCTGTGGTGTGACCTGAGGTGTTGCCTTCTCTCCCCACTGCAGGCTTCTCTTTAACAACTGTCTGTTCTAAGGCATCTGTCTGCATCTTGAGACACTGAGCAGTAAGCATGGATAGAGAGGTTTGTAACCTAGCAAATGAGGTTGTTGCTAAAGTAAATATTTTAAATTCGTTGTTTCCAATGTAAATTTCCAAAATTGTGTTCTAGCAGTTAATGGGGAAAAAAAAGATACCAGCATTGTTATTATATCATTACTTGTGTGTTAACAGGTATCTTTTTCTTCCCTGATTGTTACTATGCAAATTGTGAGAAAGTAGTAATGGCTCTCAGTGCATTTCCCTATATATCATCCTGTAATTTTGTTAAATTGATCACTTTACACTTTGAGTCTTTGGAATACAACAGAATTGTGGAACAGTCCCACCTTCATGAAGATGAGACCAGATTTGCTGAAAAACACAGTTGAAAGCTGACATGTGGCATTCACATTTCCAGTGCAAGGATGTCACTTGTGTGGATGGCTGTGCTTAACCAGCTCTGAATATGCAATTTTATTGATCAGCTCTCTGGAAAACCAGTCCAGTAATTTTGAGCAAGTTGAACAGATTATGTAAATGCATAACAGTGTGCAACTAGCTGTCTAAAGATCTAATTAGGTAAGGTAAACATGTTGAAATAGAGATTTTGATTAGAAGCTAAGTAGCTGTTCAGTCAAATTATTTTTTTTTGCCAAGTTTTTTTATAAATTATTATTGAGAAATATACTATCTCAGTTAAGGTTATGTACACATATAAAGAGATAGTCAAATAATTAAAAAATAACCCACAACAGTATTGGGTTTGGTTTCAAGTTAGATTTTTTTTCCGAAGTATGCACTTGTTCCTAACATTTTCCTGTGCTGAAATACATTCAATACAAGGGAGTTTTTGCTCTCTTGGAATTAAAGGTGCTGTTGTGTACATTGTGATTCTGGCTTATCTTTAATATTTTTCCTTAGTGGAAGTTCTCAGTCTTGCAGTTCTAGTAATAGTGCAGGTGTTTGCATGACAGGTACTCTACTGTGTGGTGGCACTCTTAACATGGTGATTTGTGAAATATCACTGTAAATCAGTTGTGTAGTGCTGCCTGCAAGTTGTTTTGCACCAGTCTGAGACAGCTTCCATGTCTTCCATCCTCTGGGGACTGTCATCAGACAGCAGTTCTGAAAAGAGCAGATAATGCAGAATATGGATGAGAAGTTTCACAGCATGAGAATGATGTTACTGTTGACTTAATGCAAGCTTTAAAGAGTTAAACGGGGTTTGCCTTGGCAGGGTAGTTAGTAGCAAAACTCAAGGATTAGGAGGATGTGTGGGGTTGGGGGTTTTGGATGAGATTTTCTGTGTGTGTGTGTCCCAAGAGCAGCAGTAAATAATGTTAGTAGTGTCATAATTAGAAAGAAAGAAAAAGTATTTGGGATACTAAAGTGGCTATTTTACAGCTTTCACTGTGTTTAGATTGAGCCTGGCTAAAATGTGAGAAAAGAACTGCTGAAATGAGAAGCCTAAAGTGCAACAAAACCCAAAAATCAAGACTTACACTTAAGTTTGGCCTGTTTATTGTAGATTTCTGTGATTCTTGTGCCAAAGGAAAGAGTCCAATGCTACACAGTTCCCAGGAAGGAGGTGTGGATTTGGGACTCTGTAGGGAGCTGTTTTCACAGTAATCTGCGGCTGAAGGCAAGAACTCAGTTCATATGTGAGTTTAAGGAGATAAATTTGTGGTGTGATTTGCTGAGAAGAAACATGGATTAGATAGAAAACTGCTTTTTGAAATACTGAATGCACGTTTTGAAGTACTGATGGAAACTTTGCCATGCAAGGGAGAGAATCCCGTGACCCCCACAGGAGGGGGTTGCACGCAGACATGCACACACTCCCACGCTGCTGAACTGGTTGGCACAGACTTGAGCAGACTTGTGCTGTTTTATATAAGGGATCTCAGCATGTTGCCCAGGATTGTGAGGGTACCATGAAATAAAACCATAAGTACTTCAGGGAAGAAAATAGCTTGAAGCCATTATTTGCTACAGAGATTCAATTATGAGTTTTTCATGTGAAGTTTGTCAGATCTTTTAGTCTCATTTTTGAAAGAAGCAAAGTGCATTAAGGCAGGCACAAACCCATTGTCCCAGGTGTGAGCTGACCAGAGGACATGGAGCTACATTAGGGCAGCTGTCTGACTGTCATAACTTACCCTGCATGTCCCTGGCTGTCTTTGCTCAGGCCCTTGCCTGGTATCAGCCATGGGAGCACAATTTCCATGTGGGCTGGAGCACAAGTAGAAAGAGCTGAGGCTGGTGTAAGCAGAGCAAGTCTGTGAACCTCCAGCAAAATCTAAAACCAGCTGGAATGCCTGACTTGGGGGAAATCTAATAATTTGTATTGGTTTTCATCATATACTCTTAAGCACTTAAATCAAATGCAGGGTTGTTGCCTGATTTACTGTTACATTATTTGACACAAAAGTTTAATGTAGATGAAACAAACACCTTTGTGCACAGACTTCTGACTTTTGGCGAAACAGCAAGGTGTGTGCATGCACCCTCTGTTAGAACAGTTACACGTGTTTTGGATTTGGTGAACTCCTGTACATTAAAACATAAGCTGCAGGTGAATTCACTGTGAACATCACAGTAAAAAGGAGTTATTTGGAAAAATCCATAGACACCAATCTGCTTGCTTTGTGCATGAGCCTGCTAGAGCAGTACTCTGTGCTCGCTCCGTAGCTGCGTGTGCCGGCTGTGAGGTGGAAGTGCAGGGATGTGACTGGAGTGCAGATCCTTTCTTGTACCCGTCTGAGGAGAGCCACTGTCACTCTGTCTCGTCCTGAGTCATGCCACAGCACCCTCCTGGCAGTACCCTTGTGACAGCTTGTGCAGTTCTTGGAGGCAGTCAGCTGTGCTTTATGGAAGTGAAAGCGGATATTTCCCCACAGCCTCCTGTAGTAAGAAATTACTTCTTTTGGAAGGGCTGGGAGAGAAAAACAGGTTTACTAGGGATGAAGATGTGGA